CGCAATTGCTATCGCCCTCCACCGCAAGCTGGTTTCTTAAGGATTGGGTACACCTACACCAGTTTCCAGAGCGTTCGAAGAGTTCAAAACTTGACATTTCAAGTATTGAATCGATCATATCTGCAGTCATTTGCAAATAGAGCTGGTGCCCCAAAATCGATACAAAGCTGCGCTGCGTAGAAAGCATTCACAATGAAACACTTGAGAACTCGAGAGCAGGCAATCTTGGTATAACTCGGCAGAGCTAATGCGTGCCTTAAGTACATGAGGTCCCCAATGCAAGCATCGACCCTGCGTTGGAGCCATCAGCGCAGGCTCCAGCAATGCCACTTCAGGATCCAGCCTGCCCCTACGGACACACAAAGCGATGTTGCAGCCTTGATGCGGTGTAGCCGCCCTTTGGTTTGCAGTCGCCGATGCGCATCCTTTGACCTGAAGCCCGGTAAAGGGATGGACTCCGCACGCTCTGCAGCTTCTAGATGGTACCTGGTGGAAGACGAGCTGAATCTGCCAACGCAGTCGGCAGTTTGGCACATCACTCAGCTCGACAACAATACCAATCCTGGAAATGCATATGTATGTCCTGCTCGTCCTGCGCATTTCTTGCTGACGTACATAGCTGCATGAGGACACCCGGCTACCGAGATATATATGGCTCCGATATTGGTCATTCACTTACATTTATTCTGGAAGCGTGTGCTGTGCCCAAGTCTGAAGCAAGGAAATACGCTAAGGTTCACACCCACAAACCTTTTACCCGACAGGTGGAAACTGAACCATCCTTGACTCCATCCAACTCACTGGAGTCTACTGAATCGTGAACAAATGCAACACCATAGTACTGTGGAAAAGGGATTGATAGAAAACGACAGACTCCACAATGGGCCCTACATCCCTCTCCATGAACTGCTCTCCCCACCACAGCTATCAGCATGATGAACAAGCACACCAACTAATCAACAGACAACCTTTGCATGCCTCTCACTAGGCAGCTGCAACCGGCAGTACTCGACCCCCGAACGTCGCTGGTGAGAACAAGCCATATGAGGGGGGCAAAGCGATGCCTTAAGCTGACTGTTCGTTTGCCACAGAAAAATCGAAACTGCAAAGGCTGCTGTTTTACAGACTGAAATCGTCGGTGTAGCAGCACTGCTACGGCAATTGCTGCACTTGTTTCCCGGCTAAGCAAGGCGCTGTTGGGAAACTGCCGTAGAAAAAAAAAATTACAGGCTCCCAGTTTTATGTACCTGTGCGTGCGCGCACAGGGGCATCTAATGGCATGCAAGCCAGTGGGTCTGGAAGCTCACAAAGAGCACCGCCTCTAGCAAAACGTCGGTGCCCTTGTCAGCCTGCTTCCAGGGACGCACACACAGTAACGTAAGGTAAACAAGGAATAGCAAGCAAATTCTCATGGCGATGCCAGTGCTGCTGCTGCTGCTGCTGTCGTTTCTGCTACGGCTGTTGCGGCCTCGGCCCTGGTGATAACTTCGTAGTTAAGCCAGAGCGTGAGGCAGAAGCTGATGCAGCAGCACAGGTGAAAAAGTTCGTGGAAGCCGAATAAGGCTGGATAGGGGTCTGGCCAACGGCTGCCGTATACCAATGCCCCAACGATATAAAACCCTGCAAGTGCCATCACCAGCGCCACTTCTTTTGCAGTCAATACGGATACATATGTTTTTAGAAAGGCGGCGTGCAGCAAGCCGATTCCTATGTAGGTGTACGCCCGGCGCAGTCGAGCCCCCGAAGATAAATCCCCAAACAAGATTGTCCAAAACCCTACAGGGAGAACAAATAATCATTGGCATGCACCCACCCATCCACGTATGCAGGCTCTCATTGGTGAATGGTTTCATGCCGATACTCAGGCTGCCAAATTGGTTCTATGTATTTTATAAAGCCCCATACACAATGAAGACCAGCTAACGACGCCGCACTGAATACGAAAACAGCACCCGGCGCTCTTAAATACAACTATCAAGTTGCTGTATACGCCGCTGAACACAGTAAGACGATGTCCTCGCAATGTCATTAGGAGCGAACAATAAACTGCAGACCTGGTGGCTTGAAATCGCGCCATAGATAACAGAACAAACCCCCGAACACCAGCTGTCAAAAACGGAATCTCCTCCTTTGAAAGGCAAATTACAGAGGAACGCAGGACCCACCGTACAAAGTTGCGAGGCCCTGAACGGCAAGCAGGAGTACCGACGGCCAGAAATCAAACAGCAGCAGGGGAATGGGAGTCGTGCAGCTGCTGATGACTACGAATATTCCTAAAACAAAAGTAATGTAGCAACACACACATGAACAGGTAAACAAGTAATGCTTGGAGATGGAGCCCATAAGGTCAGGTTAATCGGCCAAGTTAGTCCGTGGTGTGGATACGAAAACACAAGAATAAAGCACAGATTCTAAAGGTGAACACAAAAGAAGCGTCCCAAGTAGATGGTCTTTATCCGCCACCACTAACCCTTCTAGTCAAAGGGTATAAAACCTGCAGACAGGATGTATGCCACACAATCCGCACATCAACAAAAAAAGACAACGAGCACACCTGCATGGTCGAGCTTTACAACAAGTGAGCGCCACTGCGGCCCCCAGATGCCGCTGTGCAGCAGAGCGCTCGCTCCGAAGTTCGTAAGGAAGGAAAGACAACTTATCGAAGCGGCAAAGAGGCTGATAAGTCGTTTGCACGCACTCAACAGCAGTGCCACCCACACGGGAGCCAGAAGGAAAAGCCCCAAATGGATCTTTCCCCGTAGTTTGGGTCTTATCAACAGCACGTCTTCATCGCCGACACGCACGCACGTCGTCCCTCCTCTGCCCCCGACATCAGAGGAGGAAATGGACCTGTACTTGACAGCCTTTGGTATGCAAGGCGAGCTCTTAGTCTCTCCAGAACAGGGAGAAGGCGTAGAGGCGATCGACCCTCCTGAGTTTAAACCCTCGCCCGGCAGCTGTGGGCGTCCCACCTGCTGCGGCTGCTGCTGCGCAACAGCGGCAGCGTCGCCGCTGCTCACACGCTCAGCTGGGGGCTCCATGCCACAGTTCTCCTGTGCTGCTTATGAGCTATTCGGGATATTGAGAGCACGGAAAGCAATGGGGCCACACAACACAGAGGACAGTGGTAGGGAAACATGGGCACGCAGACGTTCAGGAATGGGAGCTCCTGGTTCCGCTAGGTTGAACGCCGCTTCGTTCTGCAATGAACAAGTGGCAGACACACTTGTGCTGCTGCTGCTTCTGCAGGCCAGAAGAAGTCATGAGGGCGCCGGCCGTAGCCAGCGATGCGGCGAGGAAGAGAGCGAACGCCCCGGATGCTGCAACTATGGCGACAAGGGGCCGTGGGAATATGAAAGCAAACGCTGGATGGCCGCCGTAAAATGGAGAGAGGGAAAGCCACAGAATTATATATACTCCAAACACCACTGTCCACACCAAACCGATTAGAGCTCTACAGCGCCAGGAAGACAGCATCGCCGAGTCTTCTGTCAGCACTCAGAACTAATGAGCCGGATGTAAAAGCAAAGATAATGGTGTTATTCCCGCAAATAGTAGCAAGCCAACCCGCAACACCTGAAGTACCAACTCAACCAAAGCCGACTGCACGCGAACCGAGACGCCCTGACATGCACTAACCACCTCAGTTGGATATATGGAGAGCACTCCTAGGACAATTAGGGGCAGCGCGATCATGCATTTGACAACTTGCTGCAGAAATAAATAACGTGAACTGATAGAACCTTGCAGGAGCCCGGCAGACACCCCGCAACTCAGCACCGATACTGTAGTGCGCAGCCGTCCCAAACTGTGCCTACTTAACACCTCGTCCTGCCAGGCTTCCTAAGTATTACCTCTGACTACCCATATCCTCTGTAGTCCATTCTACAAGTACGAATTCATGTGAGATTCACATTTATTAACAAAGTTGGTTCATAGAATAAAGGAACTGTGTTCCGAATTGACCCCGATCATGGCTGGGTGTCAGCGCCCAACCTATAAGATGACGAGGGGATAGCAACGGTGACGACACAGCCAGGAGCCTGACCTATAATTGCCATCCACCAAAGTCGTATTTATAGACATAATACCCCTATATTGTAATAAATCCATTTCTTTTTCAGTTAGATCTCCAAAGGGGCCTACATGGTACCCAAGTAGTGACTAGGTATTACATTGCGGATAGTGGCAGCCGGCGGTCTAATCCTACTAATCTATGGTTCCACCTATGGTACTCGATCCTAAGGACATTTAGCAGCATTAATTGCCTTTCTTAGTTGCTAATGCCCTAATCATTCTCTTTATGGTCAATGAGCTACTAGAGATCACACCTGAGCCACACTGTGCAGACAGGTACAGCTTCCGTTAGTTGACCCCACTTTGAGCGCCTAATGAATTTTGGTAGAACTTCAGTGTAGGGAAATTTCGGACAATTTCTGAAGAGTTCCTAGTCACCTTTTATGACCACTGTACGAGCGGACCGGATTTGGTTCGGTCACACAGGAGTGAAGAGGGCTTGCCGCTACATATTAACTGTACACGTGGGCGAATAAATACATGAAACCCATCAGAAATATTTCGGCCGTGTTAAAGGAGTAAACGTGCAGAGGTAATCTTATGAACCCAAGCCGTATATGCGAAATGAAGAAAGCACACAAACAGATGTGCCTACAAAACGAAATGCCGCGAGAACAAGAGGTACAACGCAAAATCTGAATCGTCGAAAAAAAAACAGAATGAGGTCAACGACCCAACGACAACAAAAGGTTGAGCTCCCAGTATCTGTCTAGTAGTAGGTATACATCCGTAACTTGTTGGTGCTACAAATGCAACTCCGTGATGCACCTTTGCCTCAAATCATAATAGACAAAAACAAGAGGGGGTGATTTGGATTTTCTTCTTGTCCGCAACCATCAATGCCTTCATGCAACGGAGGCTGCTACTGCAGCAGCAGCTGCTACTCTGTACGAACTGATTCTGCAGCAGGCGCAGCACTATTATCAGTCGTCATCATATCCATAGGTGCTATACTGCTGCTGTTGCTGCACGTGGATTGCGTTCTGCTGCAGTGCCGCCTCATATTCTGCAATTTGTGGCTGCTCAGCGAGCCGCTGCATTGCGAGCTGCTGCAGCTGGACTGCCCGGTCTCGAAGCCACGCGGAAGGTGAGCCTACAGGATTGAAGAGAAGACAGTTGGATACGATAAGGTTTATGTCGTCTTTAAAAGCCGCTACTGAGGTGTATTGACGCTCCCGACACTTCGACAAAACTTTCCGCAAAAACATCGGATGCTGCACCACCACCGAATAGCCCGGCGCAACGCGGTCGTCCACCCGATTCACAAACGGCTGCAGCGCAAAACGTAGGAAACATATTAATTAGAGAGAGAACTTCGCAGGACCGCGTGCTGAACAAGCATGTACGGGGGGAATGAGCCGTAAAACCGCCAGGTCCAAAAATACGAGCAAGAAGTGCCGGCCACAAGTATATGGCAAAGTAAACACCAAAAAACGCACAAACAAAACGCGTTTGAGGCACAGTGGTGCAACAAACAACAGTCTACAAGCGGAATAACCGTATCAACAGCAGGCCGCCCAATACATAGTAAATTAACCAAAAAGCATGCATAAAAAAAAATCGGGAACTGGCTACGCCGTAGAAGTCTTTTGTAACAGCAAAAGCGAAATGCCAACAAAACGCTCAACCAGTGACTCAGCACTAAGGGCGAAAAAAAGAGGGAACCATGCCCACCTTGAATGTTTGCTGCTGCAGCAACAAATTTACAACTCGAGCGAATGACACATTTAAGGCATCGATAGGCTGCTGCATGTGGGCCGAGTCTCTGTCGGTGAGTGCACTGTGTCGGCCACGCTTCCTGTGTCTCCCAGTCTTGCTGGAGCGCGAAAAGCTGCCCTTGAGAGATTTCCCCACGCCTTCATCGTCATCATCGTCGTCCTCCAGTTCTGACGAAACCTCATCGCTATCGTCCGGGGCTTCGTCTGCACCCCAGACGTCCGCTGTAGCTTCAGCAGCAGCACCCCCGTAGCCGTCATCTCGCTCGTCTTCGCTGCTGCCACTGAGTAGAGTAGCAGCCCCTCCGCGCCCTCTTCTCCGGCGCGTGCTGCTGCTGCAAAGAGACCCGGCCCCCTCTCCCTGCAAACTAGTTTCTGCTGTCAAGCCCAGCTCAACGTCGCTGCCCCCTGTCCTCCGCCTCTTCCGCTTAGCCACCGTCTCCCCTACTGCGGAACCCAGGCGCTTCGGTCCCCGATACAGCGGACAGTTCTTGAACACACACACCCAGAATACAAAACCCCAAAGCCTAATGTCGGAACAGCCAACAACACAAAACAAGCTGCCCCCCACATGCTATATCCACAGTGCATCCCACGCAACAACGTAAACATTGCACCAGCCCCCCCCCCAATCAGCTGTCAAATTATAAACCCTACATCTAAACCCTAAATAATAAAGCCGTACGACATTTGAAGCGATGTGGCCAGGCCTTCCACAAGCGCGGCAAATTCGTTTGCCTGCCAGAGCCTCCTTCGAGTGCACGGCATTCATTTGACGCTAATGCACAAACACAAGCCCCAAAATGTATGCCATTGACCCCCCCCAAATGACCCCGACGCTTCATCCCAAATCCTTGATCTAATATTTCTACAGGCCTTGCATAAGCCCAGCGGGTACCAGGACGTGCACAAGCTACGAGGGCCTGGCTGCCATTTGCCGGCTTTCATCCACAAATTGTCCTTGGCTTGCTTTTGAGCAACCAGTTTCTGGAGCTGTCACCTGTCTCTTTTTAGCTAGCCGTTTGTCTCTCCACGCCAAAAATGCCTTAATGTTTTCAGCCCCGTATATCAAAATGCACCGCTCGGCAGCAAATGAGTCGCCAACTTGCTGTCGCCGCTTCCGCGTCCACCGCAAACATGGTACAGCCCGCACCTGAAATGCATTACACATAACCCAGAACTACTGAACCTCCGCCTCTAAACCCAGCAATCACACTCAGGAGGAAAGCACGATAGCCGAGCAGCACGTGTCAGCCTGCAAAAATACGAAGTGATGCGACACCAGAGACTCCTAGGGCTCATCATCAATTATGACTTAGGGTTTGGGGTTTCAGGTTAAGGATATACAGTTGCTTCCGCCCTGAGCTGCTCCTCCTGCGTCAAGGGGCGCTGGCTGCGCGCCTCCTGGCGGTCTCGGAGGACCTGCAGTTCCCTCATCTCCAACTCTGTCTCATCTGCCTGCTGCAGCGCACACTCGTGACAGTGCATGCGTCTATGTATTCAGTCCCCAACGCTCTTAACCCCACTTCCCTTGACACGTGGAGAACACTGGCAGAGTCGCAAGATTCAGACCTGGAATGCTTGAAGCGATCAAATTGGTCACTGGACAATAAGCAAGTAAACGGAGACAGTTTGGAACAGATAAGTAACATGAAGAACAAACGAGATCCATGAACGAGCCTGGGGCAAAAACGCTTGCAAATACAACCGACGACTAAGCAACAGGCACGGAGTCGGCAGAAAAATTGCGAAGACACAACAGACACACAAACATTTAAACACGCCTAAACAAATGCAACAAGGAGGCGGTGTGGTAAAGCTCTAATACGCTTGCAACAGTCAACACGGCCGAGAATATTTGTACCTCGTGATCTGATTCCTCGCAGCCAGCGAAGAGTGCGTCCGCGACATCTTCTCCGGCTCCGCTTTGCTGCTGCTGCTGCGAAGCCGTTGCTGTTGAAGTGGCAGCGCCCGCAGCTGCTGTTGCGTCTGCACCAGGTTGCTGCTGCTGCTGCGGGGTGGACGGCGGCATATCATCATCTGTGTCGGTGACAACGGGCTCATCGGCCTTCAAAGCCGCCTGTTGTCGTTTTAAAATGCTGCAGAGTTTTGCTTCGTACTCCTCTGTAGGCAACCGAACCCCTGCGCCCCTTCCTTTGCTGTTGCCGTCATCAGCCCCAAACCCGTCGCGATACTGCCGAACCAACGCAACCTGATCCCACCTACACAGCCCAAAATCACACACGCCTGCAGGTTGGCGTGGATGCATGCAAGCCACCCGCACACTGCAATGCCGCTAGAATGTGGAGTTCAGTCTAGCTCGGCTGGTCCACGCCGAGCTAAAAGCTATAGCGGCTGCAGCAGCTAAGGGAAGTTGCGAGAGCAGGCAGCCAGCGAATCATGAGCTATTGCATCGCCTAAGAATATAGTACTACACGCTTAAATTTAACTAACAGTTACAAAAACAGCAGGTTCATAAGCCATACATCGGCAGAAGGCACAGCTACGCACCAGTAGTAGTTACGGCAGTAGAAGCAGCTGATACAGCAGCAGCAACACTAGCACACGGCGTGGGGTCTGACCTGGGGAGTGTCCTGATGACTGCGTCACTGAGCCCGTACTGGAGAAGCCTGGCTCGCAATTCCATCATCCCGAGCTTGCGAAGATCGTCGACAGTACCGGCGATACCGCCTGTTGCATGTCGTCTGAGAGGTTGCTGCACAACCAGCGGGTTGCTCCCGCTGCTACGGCTCCTGCTGCCTCGCTTCAGCAACGCGATGCCTTCGCCACGGCCGCAAGAAGGATCTGCAAAACCTGTCAAGAGAAACTGAGCTGAGCCTTTGTTCTGGAGCACTTCACGGCATTCTTTGGTTGTTTGCCACGGAACTAGAAGCAGCAATTCCTCAATAAAGCGAATGAGAGGAGAATGCCGGCGTCCCGCGCGGCTGTTGCTCAGCGTCAGAAGCAACTGTTGCAGCTGCTGCTGTTCCGCCGCAGCAGAAGCGGCAGCCCCATCGCTCGGGAGGCCCAGGGCCTCGCGCCTCTGCTGCTGCTGCTGCTGCAGTTGCCGCAGTCGCCTTCGTGCAGAAGCTGCAGCTTGTTGCTGCTGGCGCTCCTCCGCCTCGACAAAGGCGCATGCATTGCTGAGTCCCTCAGGGCTCGTCAGCGTACTGATGCCCACAGCGCGCAGCCGCAGCCAGGCCGCTTGGGATGTCTCGAGGCCGCAGACGGTTTCTGGGGAAATAATAGATATGAGGGATGATTCCGGAAGCAGCGGAAGACGGTGGGGAGCTATCGGAGACAGCTGCTTGAGCAGCTGCGCGACCTCCTTTTCAACAACTGGAGGACAAAAGCGCGCTTTGATGTTCTCCTTCACGCGTTTCATCTCCGTCACTCCAGTCTCTCGCACGAACCTGCATACGCGTATCCATACATCTCTTGGATGTAATTCCATCCACCACTACCCACTTTTTTACATTTGCATGCGTATATATATATATATATATA